TTTCATCCACCAGGACCCCCAAGTTCCTCCCTCCAGGGCTGCTCCCAAACCCTTTATCCCACAGGTGCTGTCGGTACAGGGGCCTTGCCCTGACCTATGTGTGGGACTTTGCACTTGACCTCATAAAATTCACACAGATCCTCTTCTCAAGCTTGTCCAGGTCCCTTCATGTGACACTAAGCAGGAGCAAGTGGCTTTAAAACCCCTGTTGAGCTAAGAAAGCTCATCAGGAGGGTGAGCTTGTGCACACCCCCCGAGTGGTACTCCTCGTGACAGGATGTGTCTCTAGGCTGCACCTCTGAAATCTCACTTGGATGGTTATGATGCTTCAGAGGTCGTGGTCTGAGTACACCCCAGCCCCAGCAGTGCTCACAGAACCCTGCTGCTCTTCGTGGACAGACCCACAGGCTGTGAGCTGATCTGGCTCTTATTCCAAAGTGGAAGGTTTCCTCTTCCAGGCTCCTTACTGATGTGCTTTGCAGGCCAGATTTTCTTGCAGAAACCTCCTACTGTCCCTTAAAGGGACACAAGAAAAGGCCTCTTTGGCTGTGACCTGATGGAGAGTAAAGCATAAAAATAACGTGGTGTAGGAACTCCTAACTGCTCTGTGTGACTCCTCGTGTTACCTCGGTGTACAGGCTCTGACTGGAACCCCCGGGAGGGACCCGCCCTTCTCCTTAGCAGCCGTGCCATTGGCTGGGCTGGGATTTAAATGTGTATTCTCCTCCGCGGGTGGCCAGGTGAAGCCACCCTGCAACGCTCCTCAGGGCACACCCCGAGCCAGCAGCCCAGTCCTGTCCCTGCCCCTCTGCCTGCAGAGCCTCGGGGGGCGTGTGGTGACAGGAACGATGGGCTCCTGGCCAGAAACGGGCACAGAGGGAGCTCGGTTAGCAAAGGATCTGTATCAGGTAGGTGAGACCAGGCTGCTGGCTGGAAAAAACATCTGTTTCTCCAAAAATCTGTACTTGTTTGTCATGTCCTTGCTTGTAGCTGCCCACCAATCTCCCTCACACCCAGTTGGGCTTTTCCTGCCACGGCTGTGTGCATCCAGGGGGGGTTTCTGTGGATGTGGATGGAGAGAAATTTTGACCCCCTGTAATCTACTGCCCCTCAGATGCTGTGTGATGTGGCTCAATCTTCTCTGAGTTGCTCAGGTTCATGTGAGGAACAGAACTGCAGATGCTGCAGAGCTCCTTCCTTCTCAGCTTGCTGAAGTGCAGTTAACCTGCGTGGCAAAGGGGACACTGTGCTTACCTTACCTCTGCTGCCCTGAATGTAGGAGAGCAAAGCTTTTCTCTCTCCTCAAACACAGCTCTTATTCATTTTGAGTGAAAGTACACCTAATTCTGGGATTAGAACCCAAATGTGCTGTTGGCTGAGTCGTCCTTAGAAGACACCAGGGATTCCAAGGGGTTTAGTGTGAATTGTTCTGTTTCCAGGGGTTACATCCTTACTTGCCTGGTCTTGCCAAAAGCATCTTATTTTCCTTACCTTTCTTTGCCTCTTAGATGAGTGAGTGAGTGAGTGGAGAAAGTGCAGGAGGCCTGTAAGAAGCCCAAGAACAGACTAACTTTATCTGGAAACACCACCATGGCTGTGTGTTATAGCTAAGAACTCATCCACAGGGGGATGAACTCCTCTAAAAGGGGATTTTCTGAAATGCTTCTCAGCTCCTGAAGATCATTCATGTCATTTCCACCCTTACCTGGGGAGCAGGGCAGAGGGGGGAATGCAGAGCTTCCCCTGCTCTGTGGGAAGTGTTTCCCCAGGGTGCCTCCTGGACCAGGTGCCAGGTCCCCACAGCACTTGAGGCTGGGCTGACAGAACAGCAAAGGCACAAAGCCTTGGTGTCCCCACACAGGAGTGTGCTGCTGGCTCTGGAGGGTGGGGACCCAGCACTGGAGTGGTGTGTGATGTGGCTCTGGAGGAGACTTCATAAATGCAGGGCTGTCATCTTGTCTTTGGCCCACTGAGCCATGTCACCATGTCTTAGGACTTGCCTGCTGTAAAGGACTGTGGAGTTGAGGGGATGGGTTTGTTGTGAAGGGGTGGGAACTCCAAATACAGCATTTCCAGACTCTTCTTGGGTGCATTCAGCTCACGTGCTGCCACAGACCCAGCTTATGTCTTGGTAACCTGCAGGGGGGCAGCTCTCCCTCCCCACCACACAAGGTCTGTTGGGGTTTGTGAGGTGCCAGGACCTGGGCAGCAGGACAAAACGTGCATCTGCCCTGGGAAACAGCAGCAGGAGAAAAGCTTTGGGGGAGGCACTGTGAAAAAGAAAGCCCTTGAAGATGTGTTGTTGATTCTCTGGCAGGTGATTGCCCTTGTGATGGACTCCTTCACAGACATTGATATCTTTGGTGACCTTCAGGATGCCTTTAAGAACCGCCAGGTTCCTGTCTACATCCTTCTGGGCCAGGACTCTGTACAGGATTTCTTGGAAATGTGCAAGAATCTGGGAGTTTGTCCTGAGCAGGAAAGTGTAAGTGCTAAATGTGGCTGGGGTTTGGGTTTGGGTTTTGTGGGACAGTTTGTTTATATCCAAGATACCCTCCTATGAAACATCAGATTCCCTTGAAAGATTAAAGTGTCCTGCCCCTTTGCTAACTGGTCTAAAAGGGGATTTTCTGAAATGCTTCTCAGCTCCTGAAGATCAAGGCTCAATATCATATGATTTCATCTTTCTAATCCAGCTGAAACTGCTCACAGACAGGGCAAAAACCATGCAGAAAAGGCACATTTATTACCCCAGGGGACCTGCCTGTGGGAGCCACAGCCATGCAAAGCAACAATCCTGTGTGCTGGGTGGAGTGCACACTGGGATCCCTGTCCCCTGGAAGCAACAATTTTCAACCATTTACTGTTGCAACATTTAAGCAGCTTTATTCTCTGGCTGCAGGAACTGCTGGCTCAGGGAAACAGAAACCTGGGAAGCTGGCGGGTGGTGCAGCTCTGGTAACATCTCAGCTCTTTCCTAACACATAATTGCTTTTTCTCTTTAAGGGGTTTGGGTGATGTGACCCTGGTGATCTGCTCGGTGCCTCTCAGCTGATGGGACTGTTAGGGCTTGGAAAGGTTTAAGTTCACCTCAGAGTCTGTGGATAAGGAAACACTCCAGGCTCTGTGGGCAGTAATTAGTTAGTACTGGCCCTTCTCTCCACAGACTCTTCTGATGTAACAAATTTAGTGCTGTGTGTAGACAACGTAAAGAAGTTAATTTCTTTTCTAGGATTGCTAATTAACACTTTTTGGAAGCTAACTTAAAAATCTGATGTTACTTTTCCCCTTCTTTTCCAAAACAGCTGTTGAGAGTTCGAACTCTCACGGGGAGCACATACTACCTGAGGTCAGGTGCCAAAATTGTTGGGAAAGTCCATGAGAAGTTCATGTTAATCGATTGCATCAGAGTGACAACGGGTTCCTACAGGCAAGTACTGGGGCTGCTGGTGCCTGGTGGAGGTGCTGCAAGAAGGATGTGTTGGCTTTGCTGTTTGCCTGGCATTAATGAATGCCAAGGGCAAGTGGGCTAGCTGGGTCTCAGTGGGGCTGGCCCAAAACTGGTACCAGCTTTGGAACATGGGTTTACACAGCTTGGGGCTAGCAGAGCAGTTGGCTGTGGCTAAACAGAGCTCTTCCTGAAGAAGGGGTGTGAAGTTTATTGATTTTAGGAGCTCCTAAGCTGAGTCTTGCCATTTGTAACTGTATTGAGGAGCACTGGGGCCTCACTGTGGACCTGGGTTTGTCTTCCACAGCTTCACCTGGTCCGATGGGAAGCTGAACAGCAGCAACTTGCTGCTGTTGTCGGGGCAGGTGGTTGAACACTTTGACCTGCAGTTCAGGATTCTTTATGCCCAGTCGATGCCCATCAGCCCCCCCAGCTGCAGGAGCAGTGGGATGTTTGATCACCTGCTGAGCAGGTCCCCTGAAGAATACACTGCGGAAGGCAACTGGAAAGCAGAATTTATCAGGCTAGCCAGCACTCCAAAGAGGCTGTTGAAAGAACCAGAGGAGGCTGAAGACACTCCTGGAGGCCAGCCCTGTGAGCTGAGGTCGTTTCTCCCTGAAGAGGAGTGGCTCAGCCCTCACGGGGCCGTGGTGGGACACAGAAGCACCTCGACTCAAACAGGCCCCTGGGCAGAGGAGCCCCTGGTGACCACGTGCCACGTGGGCACCCAGACCAGCCCCGTGGTGGCCGAGGCTGCCACCCAGGCCTCTGTCACTGCCAGGGTGATGGGCACCCAGACCTCGGTCCCGCTGAGGACCGCGGTGACGCAGACGGGGGACGAGGGGTGCACGGACACACCCCTGCCTCCCAGAAGGCTGGCCAAAGAAGGATCTGCCCTGGACAGGGAGGCTGTGTGGAGATCCAGTCTGCTCTCACTGTCTTCATCATCATCATCCCAGTGCTCTGCTGCGAGCTCCACCGGCTCCCTCTCCTCTCTGCGCTCCTTTGACTATTCCTCCAGCCACAGGGCAGAGTGTTTCCAAAAGCTGCACAAAGAGAGGCAATTCCACTACTCCACTATCAGGTCGAAGCTCAGCCACATGGTGGACATCCTGTCCCGCAGGAGACGTCTGCCCACAAGCTACATGACCCAGTACACGGGGAGGTCCAACCTGGGGCAGCAGCATCATCATCCTCCTCATCCTCAGCGCGCCATCAGCGCCAGCCTGCGCAGCCTCCGGGACGTCTCCCTCTTCTCTCTGAACAAATAGGGGGTCGCTGCCCTGAATGCTGAGCACACAAGCTCCAGGCTCAAAGTGTCACTCCCTTGGCACCTGCTGATTTGTCCACTTCCAGCACTTTTATGGGTTTTTTTTACTACACGTGTATGTCACGCTCCAGCACGGTTTTAGACTATGCAATTGAAGCAATAAAAAGAGTTGATACTGTAACCACTGGCATGTGCCTCTTTTAGATGCATTAGTGGTGAAGCTTTGGGGTGTTGAACCTGGAAAGAAGGCTTACTGCTGCTTCCTAGGATGCAAATGCTCTCATTTAGGTTATGTAAACTTGGCAAGAACAGCCCAACTGAGACTCTTATCAGAGAGGCTTTGAAGATTTAGCTTCTATCAAGGTGTACTCTATTTTTTTTATATTATCTTTTATTTCTACTTTAGCTTGAAAGGAAACAGCTTTTATAAAGAGCCACAGAGCTCATTTTCTTCTGACTTTAGTGATACATACACTACTCTTCCACTAAAGCTGTGCAGGGTCTGTTGGAGCAGCTTACAGCTTCAGCTGTATCCTTTTTTCCACTGGTTGAGCCTCCAGAAGTGGACTAGAGCTAAATAGCCCCCAGTTTGGTCAGCCCCTTGTGCCTCTGTGTAGATATATGTATAAATGTGTGTATGTACACACACACCCCCTCAGAAAAGGATCTTTTTAAAACCAAGACCAGGAAGCAGCAGCTTGGCTCTCCAAGACAGCTGAGCCCCTTTGAGGTACAGCCCTGATGTAAATGTTTCCAGGGTTTGGATCTAAAAGCTCAGATGTTTGGACCTGTAAGACTGTTAACAGGAATCTCTTGCTGAAGTGGGGTTTTCTTTGAGCTTGTGGGGAGGAGAAGAGGTGAACCTGGAGTTGTCTTGCTGCAGCAGACCTGTTGTGCTTCTCTTCTGGGATGACTTCAAAGAACTTTGAGCCCTGTTCAAAAGTAAACTGACAAATACACTACAAAATGTTGTGGGTTATGTTTGCTAAAGTTATTGTACAAGTAAGAGTGGGAAAAAAACACCCCATTTTTCTCTTTAATATTCAGAGTTTCCTCTCTGTTGATCCTTTATCTGCTACAAACTTGGTTTGAGGAGCTGAGACACTACTCTTTTTTTTTTAAGTACCTTCAATATTAAATGGATCTTAGGTTAAGTTGCTTTGCAGAGACATTACCTGAGCACTTTTTAGCTGTGCTCTGTGTGCCCTTGGTGGATCTCTTCATCGAGCAGGGTGTGGATTCCCTCTGAGCTCTGGCCTGTTATTCTGTAGACCCACAGCCCTGCTCTCTAGTGACCAAGCTGCCTGAGTTCTGCCCTGTTGAATCAGTCTGGCTCACAATCTCAGAGGTCTTTTGCACCCTTGGTGATTCTGTGTATTTTCTTATTTAAGGGTATGTGTGTCCAGTAGATGGCACGTTTCAGCTGCTGCCTTCAACAGTCCCATAAACAGCAATGAATGAAGAGGAGAATATCCAAAACTCAGGGAGGCTGTTACTCAAGCATAGAGAGCAAAGCTGTATTTATTTCCTGAACTTTGGCATTTTTCTCTCTCTGAAATCTGTGGGCAGAGAGGCTGAGCTCCTCTAACAGCTTGGGTTTCAAAGCAGCCACTCCCTGAAGCTGCAAGGCAGAGGTGCAGGGGTGTGTGTGTGTGGGAAAACTTTGTCTGCACTTGTTTAGAAAGATAAGAGACTTTTTTTTTTCCCCCTGGAGCTGGAACAGGGGGAGTGAAGCAAGCTGCAGAGTGGAGCTGAGCTGCACCCTCGCAGCCAAAAAAAGTACCGGGGGAGTGGAAGCAAGCGGCAGAGTGGGGCTGAGCTGCCCCCTCGCAGCCAGTCTCGGGCTGTGTTTCGAAGAGCTCTTGTCCCGCAGTGCTTGGATGTGTGTAAAATGAACTCGTTCTATGTGCTCTCCAAGCTTATTACACTGTGCGGCTGCGACGGGGCCGTCACGGGAAGGGGAAGCAGTCCACAAATAAACTCCTTTTGCCACGGGGGTTTTCAGCCGAGCTTTGTGTTCTATTTGTTCGGCATTTTGAGCCGGGGTGACTAAGGCAGCGCTTCCCCTTTCGCCGGCAGAGCCCAGAGCCAAACTCCTTTTGCCACGGGGGTTTTCAGCCGAGCTTTGTGTTCTATTTGTTCGGCATTTTGAGCCGGGGTGACTAAGGCAGCGCTTCCCCTTTCGCCGGCAGAGCCCAGAGCC